CTTATCGGTTAAATTTTTTAAAATGATATAATTTTTTTTTTGTTTTAGTATTTTGAAGTTGACCAATTGTTACTATAGGCAATTAATGATTATTATTACATATAGATGATCTGCACCGTATCCTAATTCCCGAATCATCTATTTTTACTTCATTTTACTTCATTTTATTTTATTCAATTCTTTATTTTTATTTTATTCAATTCTTTATTCATTATTTTCGTATTTATGTTTTTATTTTCATTCGTATAACGTCAAAATTAAGTTAACTTTATTTAGAAATTAGCGTTGCAATTAAAGTGCCATATCGCAATGAAGTTGCTGCTAATTAATTTTAATTGTATATAAGAAGTTCAAATTCGACATACTTGTAAAATAATTTTGGCTTAGTTTAATAACTTTGTAAGAAGTTTAATAAATTAACTTAGAAATAAGTTAATAAATTAATTTCGACTAAATAAAACGTTTTCTTAAATCACTAAACCAAAATTATTCGCTAATAAAATTAATTCGTTAATAATAGCCAATTCATTCTGATTCACATAATCATAAATTTATATTGTTATCATCAATTAATATGCTCTCCCAAATAATAATTGGTGACAATATACAAAACTTAATTGGGTAATTCATCTGATATAGTTAATTCAATTTGTTGAAAATCTTTTATCACAAGAGCGGATATTAATATTATAAATTTTAAAATGAAAATAATCAATCATTAAATACCATAATTGCTGATAATTGTCACTTTGTTAGAATTCACATATTGGGGAATGTTTGTAAATTTTAATAGTCAGTTATATATAGTACGAAATGAATTGTTGCAGTAATTGTTGAAGGATCAAATTTTATTATCAAAACTTTTCAAATTCATCCTACTGTTCTTCTGAATGTCCAAAATGTCCAAAACTCCAATGATTTATTTTAAACGAGTCATTCCAAAAATCAACAGTCTCATGAATTTCACCAGCAGTTGAACATTTATCTGGATTAGCATCCATGCATCTGAATGATAGTTCAATATAGAATTTTGGTGTGTTTGAAAATCCAGGTCTTACTCCTTCACATATTTTTATTGCAAGGCTTACATCATGTGCCAAATTACTGAATGGTTCAAAGCTATATATATCTGATGCTGCTGTAATGGTTTCTTCCTTTAAACTTCTGGTGCAACATATGGCAGTGCTCCAAATGTATCATTTTTGTTTGATGCAGATGTTTGACCAGCTGGAAATGATAGTCCCAAGTCTGTAATATATGAAATAGTAGTACTGTGAGATAGTAAGTTGTGTGCCAACCAATTGTCCCGTTAATCAGAGCGAACTTAGTACGGCAGTCATATGATGTGCTAAATATTGAAAACGATCATTGAATTTATTCCGATTTTTATCCATATGTAATATTAATCAAGCTTATCATTTCTGTTTAAAATAATTAGCATTAGTAATCTTAATTAGCCACAATTTATTAATGAACATATTTGATTGGAAAGTAGGATAGCACAAATCACATTATCTGTAATACTCCAAGAAGTATTTAAACTTATAATCTTCGAATTAATAAATTTCCTTTAATTAATATTAAATAAACATATTTTACCTTGTTACGAATTTTTGCATAGTTAGAGAGGAAAAGCCGTCGCAAATTGTTCTATGATCCTTTCTAATGATTAGTGGTCTGGCCAACCTTTAATCATTAGTTAGGAACCCTTTGATTTACTATGTTGCTTGTAGGGACGCCTCAAGTGGTATAATTGCAAATATTTCTTGTATATAATTTTCTTTATTTCTTGATTTTAGCCGTGTATCGGCATTTTTGAAGTCCGTGTATCGGGCATATTATTATTTTTGGATTTCCGCGTGTCGGAATTTATTTGGCCGTGTGTCGGCATTGGGTACATAAGTCCGTGTGTTGGCGGCATAATTTGTAACTATTGGGCACATAAGTCCGTGTGTCGGAAGTACAATCTATATGATTATTATCGGACACGTCAAGAGTTTGTAACTGGGGAAATTACACGCTCGCGGTGAAAAATAACACCACTATGAAGATCATGATGAATAATTTCTTTTTCGTGAATATCTTTTAAACCTTTAATAATTTGTTGAAAAAAACGAATTTTGTTATACAGTGGTGTGCAAAAAAAATGACAATCTTTTTGGAAAAAGATCAACAAGTGTAACTTCCTCAATTTTG